TGGGTGGGCCTTCCATAGGTCATTGTTCTCTATTGAAACCTAAGTTTGGTCAAGGGCTCCACATCAGGGGTTTCATTTGTAAAAAGGCCTGTGTGATTTGATGTGAAATATACACACTATCAACGCTCCACACACACACACACACACACACACACACACACACACACAGAGGGGGGGTAGACCCATGATCTGTCTGTTGAGATCCCTTAAGGATGTCTGGGTAAAGGGGAACAACCTTTTCTGTAAAGGGAAATGGAAGGTGCTGTGGAGAGAGAGAGAGAGAGAGAGAGAGAGAGGTAGGGGGGGTGGATAAGCACGTACTTGTACTCTGGGGGTTAGAGGTTGTGGATATTATTATTATTATTATTATTATTATTATTATTATTATTATTATTATTATTATTATTATTATTATTACTTCCTTGCAGTCTTTGTTATTGTAACTAAGGACAAATATATCTTTATCTATATTATTTTGAAGTCATTTCCTTCTTTCCTTATATACCTTTAGGTGAAGAATACAGTCATTTCCTTCTTACTGTACAATACGATGATTTTAATTTCCTCTCCTTACAATGTGAACGGAACGGATAAACCAGACTCCCATCTCCCCTTTGTTAACACGCTGGAGCTGACCTCACGACAGAGCCACGGTCGACCTGCCACACCCGGACACTCCCAGCAGCCACACACCCACACCCACACCCACACCCACCCCTCCCCACACCCACACCCACCCCTCCCCACACCCACACTTTAATAGCATCCTGCAGGTTAACTCCATTTACGAAGGGTTAACTACATTCCCTGTTTCATTATCCCTGTCAGAGATTGTGTCGGCGATGCTGAGTGACGGTAGAGCAAGGTATAGCACGTAAAGATGTGATGCTATACCTGTCTTAGTTTATCCAGAGAATCTTGTGTACTTAAGTTAGGTTTCTTGAGGCCTTGCAGGTTAATTTTTACGGTTTTTTTTTAATTTCATCGTTACTTATGGTGGGAAAACTCACCATTTAGGGTCATAAAAGGTGCTCCATTGTTTCCCTTTTCCTGTTTGATTTTATCGAGATCTATCCTGTTTCCATTGTGGATCTACGTGAAATAAGTTGTTAAATATGAATAAATTAGTAAAGATTCGTGAGGTAATTTCTCTTTGCCTTAGGGAGCGTAAAAGCTTCTATAAAAGGTTCACTTAATATAATCGACAAATTGATTGACTTTTCATGAGTTTTTGGCTAATTTTCCCCATAAATGGAAATGTTTAAGTTAGATTAAACCTCATTATTGACATGGTTAGGGTAGGGTAGGCAGGTAAAAGGTGGTAGGAGGAGGGTAGGCAGGGCAGGGTAGGCAGGGGTAGGGAGGGGGTAGGTAGGGTAGGGTAGGGGCAGGGGTAGGGGGAGGGTAGGTGGGGGCAGGTGTGGGTAGGGTAGGGTAGGGTGGGTGGGTAGGGTAGGGTAGGGTAGGCAGGCTAGGTTAGTAGGTAGTAGGCAGGGTAGGGGAGGTAGGTAGGGTGAAAAGGTGTTAGGTAGGTAGGGTAGGGCAGGAATAGTTAGTAGGGCAGGGCAGTTAGGGTAGGGTAGGGCAGGGTAGGGTAGGGTAGGGCAGGTTAGGGTAGGGTAGGGTAGGGTAGGGCAGGGTAGGGGAGGTTAGGTTAAGTTAGGTTAGGAAAAAATGAATTCTTAAAATTCGTGTATAAAAACATTTCCCCATAGCTGAAGGCATGACAAAGGACCTGACCACCTTACCTAATCCACGACACAAAGTTTGATCCTAAAAGACTCGTTAATTCTATTTAAGTTATGGTAACGTATCAAACTACAACATTTCATCTGTAATTCAAAACTGGCAACGAAAATATCCACAAAATGACAGCAAGATCACGTCTTAATCTAAAGAAATATCCCACAACCAGAAAAAAAGAAAGAAAATAAACTTAAGAACTTCTGAGAAAACGTAAAACTGACGCCACTCACAATATAATGTTTTAAGATAGTTCCGAGGAATGCATTATGTTCTTAGTGAGATTTAATTCCATCATTTAAACAAGAAAATACTGTAGCTCAAAGGTTCTGGCCGAGTCCATTAAGGCTCTTCGCTGTGGACGATTTTATTCAAAGGAAAACACTGATTTATGTCTCTGAGTGAAAGACCAATAGTGTTTTGACGTCTGGTATTACACGTCTTAACATGTTCAAGAATACTCCACTAACCTAACCTAACCTATACCTAACTTAACCTATGCCTAACCTAACTTAACATGACCCAGCTTAGTCTAACTTAACCTAACCTAACCTAACCTAATCTAACCTAACCTGATCTATCTTAAAGTACCTTACATCAACCTACCTTAACCTACCTCTTCCCAAACCTAACTTAACCTAACCTAACCTAATCTAACCTGCTTTTAGTTAAGAGGTAAACACAATTTTCTGACTATGTTTATGACAATAAACTTAGACTAAGCTGTAAAAAAGCGGAGTGTGTTTTTACTTTTCCTTTATAACGCTGTAAAAGCTAAATAAGCTCCGGTGTGCCTTAATAGCCTTGTATCTCGTCTTACCTGTAAAAGCTAATGACTGTAACCTGTTAAAGGTACTGCATTTTACACCTGTAATATTTACTCACCTGTAACAAAAACTAGAATCTTTGTTGGACTTTTTTCTGTAACTATTTATATTAATACTAACTTTATCTAAATTCATCTACTGCATCTATAACTTAACTCAACGTAACTTAACCTAACCCAGCATCACCTAACCAAACCTAACCCAACACAACGTTACCTAACCTAACCTAACCTAACCTAATCTAACCTAACCTAACCAAACCTAACCCAACACAACGTTACCTAACCTAACCTATTCCTAACTTAACCCAACCTACCTCTAGTCTAACCTAACCAAACCTAACCTAACCCAACATAACGTAACCTAACCTAACCAAACCATTGACCTTAAAGCGAAAATTCCGACCTGGATTCGAATACGGCTTCGGGTTCGTATCGTCTTCACACCCCGAATCTCTCTCCATCACACAGAAAACAATACCTGCCGCTCTCCTCTGAACGTTATCATCTGAATTTGAGCGAAATATTTAGGGTTTCCCAATAGATAAGACGCTTCTGAGTTAATCTGCCCCCGGGAGATACGAATTTTCATTGTATAATTTTTATTTATTTATTTTTCTTATCTCAGGGGGAGAGTTTTGGTGGAGGGGTGAGGAGTGGAAAGACTGTGGTAAGGGAGTGAGAGTAAGAGAGAGAGAGAGAGAGAGAGAGAGAGAGAGAGAGAGAGAGAGAGAGAGAGAGGGAGAGAGAGAGAGAGAGAGAGAGAGAGAGAGAGAGAGAGAGAGAACAAATCTGGATATAGAACTCGAAGAACCGACAAGAACAGAACATGGTGAACGAATATCAGAGTTTTTATTTACAGAACTTGTAAAAAAAAAACCCACTCAGAATTTGTAAAAAAAAAAACACAGAAGTTGTAAAATAACTTGTAAAATAACTTGTAAAATAACTTGTAAAATACTCTTAGAGATTGTAAAATAAATTGTACAATACCGTAGGAACTTGTAAACATTAAAAAGAGGTTCTAGAACTTGTAAAACAGATGGAACAAACTTACAAGCCAGAGTTAAGGGCGAGTTGAACAGTACAAGCAATAAATCTGACTAGCTGGGTGCTTGTGTGGTGTGGGTCAAGCAGAGGGGTGGTGTGGGTGAGGCAGGGGTGGTGTGGGTCAGGGGGGTGGTATGGGCGGACAGGTACACAGGTGAAGCCCTACAGCCAGGTGAGGATCGTGCTGCTAATATATACACGTGAATATGATAAACAGGTGCTTGCTCAGGTACACACACACACACACACACACACACACACACACACACACACACACACACACACACACACACACACACACACACACACACACACACACACACACACACACACACACACACACACACACACACACACACACACACACACACACACACACACACACACACACACACACACACACACACACACACACACACACACACACACACACACCCCCACACACACCCACACACACACACACACACACACACACACACACACACACACACACACACACACACACACACACACACACACACACACACACACACACACACACACACACACACACTGACTATAACAACATAGTACCTTAATGTCTAATTTTAGTACAGATCAGATAAATTAAATTACACACCTTGAGTAAACACCTCTATTATATTTACTGAGTGGAGTACATGTACACATAGATCATTGCTCCCGTACATGTACACATAGCTCATTACTCCCGTACGTGTACACATGGATCATTACTCCCGTACATGTACACATAGATCATTACTCCCGTACATGTACACATAGATCATTACTCCCGTACATGTACACATAGATCATTACTCCCGTACATGTACACATAGATCATTACTCCCGTACATGTACACGTAGATCACAATATGTGTCATTGCTTACACATTAACGCACACGAATGTACATCCGTCATGCAAGAGTCCCTCAAGGACACGCACATGCACACAGACAAACATGCACCCATGTCAACATACACCATCACTCATAGACTCATGTACACATGAGGCAGCACCAGTGCACGTACATAATCTTATACATTCACATATTTTATGCAAGAGCCTCCAGGCGCACATACGCACACACAAAATACGGACACGCTCACAGACAGTCACTACGTGGTGTGCGAATACACGGATATAAGCGTACATACCTTCCATCGTCATCGTCATGCAAAGGTTTATTGACGTTCTAATACGCACATGCATACTCTCACATCCACATACACACATACACACACACACACACACACACAGCCAAAGACACTACATGATGTACTTAAAACGTACATAAACACACATCCTTCCCTGTCATGTATGGGACATAAGGTTTACTCACACACATACACATACATACATAGAGCCAGCAGACTCACCTTCTCTTGAGGTAGTTGACATTACTTGAGAACGACGCTTTAAAGCTTGAGAAGGAAATTTTGCCGGTTTCAGGAGGACTGCACTCACAGATAGAACCGAGTATGGTGGCGGTGGAGGGGATGTTGCTCCTTCCTTCAGCGGGCCAGGGGGCGGCACAGGGCGGACCCTAAGGGGGGGCACACGGCCAGCACAGGGAGGCGCCTTTCGACCCTGTTTCTTAGGTAACAGAGGAGGAGCTGTTCAGCGGTCAACAGCAGCGGGAGCAGCAGCAGCAGCAGCAAGCGAGTGGCAAAGCGATACAAGAGGGTAGGAGCGGCAGGGTGGTGGTGGTGATGGTGGTGGTGATGATGATGATGATGACAGTGTTGGTGTGATGATGGTGGTGGTGGTGGAGGGTGGTGGTGGTGTTGGTGGTGGTAGAGACGGGTGGTTGTCGCGATGCCTCGGCTGCTACACTAGGCTACACCGCCACCCTGCAAGGAACAACAACACCAGGTTATACTTGGTTACACACACACACACACACAGCTACGCTCTCACTACATTACGCATTGGAAGATATTGTCATTACGAGTTTATAGTTTTACTACTCTGCAGTGTTTATATATATATATATATATATATATATATATATATATATATATATATATATATATATATATATATATATATATATATATATATATATATATATATAAGCACGTGCGCGCTCACACAAGCACACATGTGCAGAATCACAGATTTAAAGCGTGTGGACGTGTGTAAGGCCCGGCAGTAATTACTGCACTGAGGGAGCAACACGACACAGGAGGTGGGCGGGGTCAGCACTCAGGAAGGTGATCAACGACCAGTCCTCGGTGATGTGTGAGGCGGCCAGTGACGGGGAGGTGGCGGCGTCTATTTATTTTGTATTAGTTTACGACTACTGTATGTTGATACAACACGCACTTAAAGACTTAAAATGTTAGAGCTCAGCAATACACTATAACCTCACCATAGCTCAGTAATACACTATAACCTCACCATAGTTTAGTAATACACTATAACCTCACCATAGCTCAGTAACACACTATAACCTCAACATAGCTCAGTAATACACTATAACCTCACCATAGCTCAGTAATACACTATAACCTCACCATAGCTCAGTAATACACTATAACCTCACCATAGCTCAGTAATACACTATAACCTCACCATAGTTCAGTAACACACTATAACCTCACCATAGCTCAGTAATACACTATAACCTCAACATAGCTCAGTAACACACTATAACCTCAACATAGCTCAGTAACACACTATAACCTCACCATAGCTCAGTAATACACTATAACCTCACCATAGCTCAGTAATACACTATAACCTCACCATAGCTCAGTAATACACTATAACCTCAACATAGCTCAGTAACACACTATAACCTCAACATAGCTCAGTAACACACTATAACCTCACCATAGCTCAGTAATACACTATAACCTCACCATAGCTCAGTAATACACTATAACCTCAACATAGCTCAGTAATACACTATAACCTCAACAATAAAACATAAATGCAGCAAAAACTCACCATCAAATATTGTTTTATAAGAAATATCAATGATGTGCCATAGTGTTGGCGTAGTATAGTGACTGGACCAGACCACTCGGGAAATATATATCCTGTACCCACCTGAAGGTTAACTCTTGTCTTCAGGTGTTCGTATGTCAACAACAGCTTAATTAAAGCCCATTATTGCCTCCTACTTCACTCCTATATGATGCTACAGTTGATTTAAGCAAGATAAACACGTCTAGTTATTATTACATTATATATAATCCTTTGAGGACGATGGTTTAAGGTCGTAACTCTCTCTCTCTCTCTCTCTCTCTCTCTCTCTCTCTCTCTCTCTCGTAACACCATAGCTCAGTTTAAGGATGAGAACCTTGGTCGTATTGAACCCCAATGATGGTATCCAGTCCCTAGTGTGTACTCCCAAGCCCAAAACACATCACCGCTATTACGGACTTCGGAGTCGCTTGCTGGAACTATCCCCTGAAGTCTACTGGAACAACTTTAAAGGAAGAAATTGAATATTTTTTTTTTGTCTTTTGGGATATAAGGAACATTTCTGGACCTTATAGAAAGACTGGGTTAAAATATTATGGATTTTGTGAAATATACCGAGATATTTTGAAATCTATTTAATATTGTTGCCTTTTTGGGATCATTTTGTTAAATCTTTTGAAATATATTGAATATTTTGAACGTATTAGAATAACTGTTTATTCTTTTGAGATTATTGAATATGCAAAAGTTATTGGAACAGCAGTGGTATTTCTTTTGGATTCTTGGATATAGTAAACCGCTTGGAAAAAAATATTGTTTATTCTTTCCGAGTTTATTGAGTATGCTGGAGCGCTTTTAACTTCACGTACTTGGCTGGAACGACTCCGCACAGCCCTGGAGCAATTTTATGGCACCAGCGGGAACAACTACACGCAATATACTGGAGCAACTTTGTGTTTCTACAACGAGTTCGTGGCATCTTTTGGGAAGAGTTTTATGTTATTTACTGGAATAAAACACCAGGGGTCTCTGAACGACTCTACTTGTTGCTGGAACATGTCCACGGAACTTTGGGGATGAAAACATAAGGGTCTTTAAATCAACCTCAGACCATCTGCTGATATATCTTCATGGACTCTGCTGGAATATCCCATTAGACTCTGTTGGAATATCCTATTGGACTCTGCTGGTATATCCACGTAGACTGCTGGAACGCCTTAATGAATTCTGCTGGAATACCTTAATAGACTCCGTAGGAATGCCTTCATGGACTCTGCTGGAATATCCTCATAGACTTTGCTGGAAAATCCTATTGGACTCTGCTGGAATATCCTATTGGATTCTACTGGTATATCCTCATGGACTCTGCTGGAACGCTTTATTGGACTCAAATTCAATATCTTTATGGAATTTGCTAGCACGTGTTAATGGACTCTGCTGGAAAATCCTCATGAACTCTGCTGGAAAATCCTCATGGAGCCTGCTGGAAAATCCCCGAGGAATAAAGTAATACAAGAACCATTAACCAAGACCTTCAAAGTCAATACACTGGACACAAACTTCAATTAACTTTTCACTACAAGTCCAAAATACTTTTACGAGACAGTTTGGAACGTGAGCTAGAGCAACAGCATGGAACAATCTGTACAATACTCATGGCAAAACCTCTTGGTACACTAAGAACCTTAATGTTCATGTACACATTTAAGGCCATATTTATCTCAGGTTCATGTACACATTTTTATCATTGTGTGCACATTTTAATCACCATGTACACATTTTAACCCTCACGTACACGTTTTTAATTTTCCTTATGTAAACATCTATTTAGAAAGGTGTACATAGCTTAAGTGGTGTGAGTAATGATATCAATGTTTGTGTACATATCTCACAGGGTATGTACACACCACACTATGTACACATCACAGGCAGTATCTGCACATCTCGGGAAAGTTAGCAAATACGGTACATTAATATAGTAAGCATCCCAGAGTGTGTAGAGCAATATCATTTTTAATCATTATGACACACTTTAAAAAATATCTTTACGGAATTGATCGATAAATTTCAGAATGAACGCTGCGACTCCTGTTATCTCGGTGTCGTTGTCAAAATACTTCATCGTTGTATCATATTGTTTAACACGAAATCGTTAAGATATTTTCTGGAGTGAATAGTTTGTTTATGATTTATTCTGAACTTGTTTCCTAGAATATTGGATCACTGTGGCCTGGAAAACTTGGTGAAAAAAGTTTGTGTAATATCAATTTATTCAAGTAACGAAAGTATTAATTTGGTGTTGGAGAGAGAGAGAGAGAGAGAGAGAGAGAGAGAGAGAGAGAGACTTGTCGGCTAGCGGGTTTCATGTCAATGTTACCAACTAGTGGGTTTTTATATCAGTGTTGCCAACTAGTGGGTTTTATATCAGTGTTGCCAACTAGTGGGTTTTATATCAGTGTTGCCAACTAGTGGGCCTTGAACCAGTGTATTAATTATAAATGCCTATCACAAAGTTGCCAAGTAGTGTTTTTAGTCCCAATATACTCTCCAATAAATGTTCTAAAACTAAAACTAAAACAATAGATAAACTAAACCAACTTACAACAGCTGCCAACTAGTGTTTTTAAACCCACTTGAGTTACCAGTTATTGAATTTAAGTCCAAAATAAACAAAATAATATAATAAACATAAGCTGGTAACTCAGTCCAGCACAGTTGCCAGATACTGTAAGTGTTTTTCAGGTTTAACAGAGTTGCCAATGTACTTATTAAAACAAAAGTATATAAACCTACAGCACAGGATACTTAAAACTGTTGCCAGATGAAGGTTTAAGCTTGATTCTAGTTGCCAGTACATGTTTTAAGGGAAATAATGTGTCAAAGTTACCAATTTGTGTTTTAACGATCAGTTAATGTTTTAAGAACGAATAAAACTACCAGGTGTTGATTTAAGGTTTAAAATGAAACATAAAATCCCAAGATGGGTGTTTTATATACGAGAATAACCCATAAAACTGCACAGATGGTGTTTTATATACTAGAATAAACCATAAAACTGCCATCTAAAGTTTTATCAAACACAGGAAACAAAACACAAACTTGCCAGGTGGTGTTTTACGGACTATAATAAAGCATAAAGATGGGAGCTGGTGTTTTAAGTACCAGAAAAGACCATTAAACCTACAGCTGGTATTTTAAGAACCAAACAAGACAATTAAACCTACAGCTGGTGTTTTAAGAACCAAAAAACACCATTAAACCAACAGCTGGTTTTCTAAGGAGCCGAACTAAGATACAAAGTTACCAGCTGGCGTCTTACGGGTTCAAAAGAAAGTAAAAAAATAAAAACTAAGACCCCAAACAGAGACAGGAGACAGCGATCCACTTACGCCCGCCAGAGGTGTTTGCTTAGGCGTTTACTGGCCATTGTCTGTCCTGGAGTAAAGTTAGAAGGAGTAAATAACATAAAACAAAATAATAAGCTAATATAACTAAAATAACAACAATAACAAAAATATAGCTAAAATAACTCAGAAGAACATAGGTAAAAAAAACTTATAATACTAAAATAACTAAAATATAGCTAAAATAAATTAGTATAATATAGAAAAAATAGCTTAGAATAAAAGCTAATATAACTTAATAATAAAATAAGAAAAAATAGCTTAAAATAACATAGCTAAAATAACTTTGTATAATATAGTGAAGAAGAATTTGATATAGAGTAATGTAATTTAACATAACATAGAGATATATTGAAAGTAATATATTAGTATGAAGTAAAATATCATAGGCAGAATAATTAAGAATAATGAGTCAATATAATGATAATAAAGTAGATTAGTAGTAATCAATAGAGTCAGATATAGTGATATACAGGAATTATATATATCATAGGTATACGATCAGGTGCAGGTGC